TATTTTGAACTAAAATAGCGATGTTGAAGATCATTCCATGCAATTTTTAGCCCTGCCATTCTTAAGACCTAGGACCCGCTTAATTTCCAACCTGCGGGCCCGCAAAGATGCGCAGGCGGCTATTTTGTATCAATCCATTTCAGGGTTAACCGGGGATATATAACGTCATAATAACGTCATTCAGATCCTGCCATTCCATAGGCGGACTTGAGCGGGTCCATAATTTAACAGGCAAAAATATATGTTTGCTACCCTTTAGGTTTTAAAATCATCCAAAAAACATATTGTACTGCCAAACAAAAACCAATCATGAAAGATCATATATTTACTATTTGCAGCAGGAGCGCGAGTGCCAGAGAACCATGACAACACAAAACACATCAGAAATCAGTTTGCACACACTGAACAGCCTTAAGCAAACATCTCACTAGAAATGCAAAGAATGCCGGCCGAACCTTAGTAAAACTCCGGCCCCTGATTTCATTGAGCAACAGTGGGTAGTCAAAGTGCATACAGCTACACACTGCACTTAGGTGTTATTGTAATGGTGTGGTGTACCAACCTTTCCTAGTTAATACCAACCAGATCTCAAATATCACGATCAACGTCTATGCTGAATACGATACAAGGGAACTGTGAACCTTTCCTTGCCCCAGCTTTAATGACCTGTCAATACAGGCCGCGGACCCTGGTAGTATCAAGTGCGAACAGTTGTCGAAACTGAAAAAAAAGTGGTGGCATAGAGTTCGTCCACCCATATCTGAAAATATGCCAATTGACGGCTACGACCCACAGGGCATTTAATATAATACGTTCTACCATCACTGCAATTATTATAATATTTCGAATGTCCTGCATTACAGCTTCCGTTTTGTCCGATTTGTGAATTTTTTCTGACATTTGTATCTGAACGCAGCTCCCTGTGGAAAAAATTCACCCACAATAATACGTCAATGGGTGATTCGATTAAGACCGAAAGTTGAAGTCATCAGGTAATGTAAGAGGTGGAATCAACTCCTGGAATTCTTTTTACCACTTTAGTTGTTGATATATATGTTTTCTTCAGCATACAGCGGTACGTCACGTTGTTTGTTATGATGCTAAATGCCTTAATAATGTCTTTGGATGGGGAAACACTCATGGACAAAACATTATTGATATCCCTGCTTTCAGTTATGTCATGCAAAAATAAAAATGTGGATGATTTCAGAGCCACCAAGTGGTTTTTGTTTCGTGTTGTTGCATGATGGACAGCTTGCAGACTAGCTTGCAGATTACACTTTAACTTGTTTTTACTTTGTCAGTGTTGAGCCATCAGTCGATACATAAAAGTTAAGAAGAAATGGACTGTAGCCGTTCAGGTGAAGGTGGAAGAGTAAAATCTTTGGTACATTTATTTCTAGTGCAATGATGATTAAAACACAACACAAATGTGGGGTGGAAGGTTTTTGAATTATTTTGACATGATTTTTTGTACTGTTTCCTTTCATACTACGTGCATTACAAATGTTCAAATGCCACAATCAATATTTTCAACCAGTTCCTTGTGCAATGACGATTCCAAGCGCGGCAGACAGGTGGTTGTATTAAATGTGTTACCACGATGTAAGAAACTGTACGAATCTTTATAATGAAATGATATCAAAACCTTTCATGATACGTGTGTGTTGTGGTTGGAGTTGTCGCACCAGACATATTGATTGCGGCATTTGAACATTTGCAATGCATGTTGAACCATATTTCCACGGCATTTTGAACATTCTCTCATTTGCATGTAAAATAGTATAGTTCCCACGCCCTGATTCGACAATAATAGTTCTTGTGATATTGTCTGTTACGTGGATCTTGACTGAGGTCTGAGCCCCTTTTTGCTCCTTCAGAGCCTGTCAAAATATGCCAGATCTTGATTCTGAGCCAAGCAAGAGCCACGTTGTCAGGTACATTTGCAAGGAACATTATGCATATAGATGGGACAGTATTGACAGCCTTATTCCTCGTAGAATAAACGGGGGAATAGAGAGATAAGTGTGATACTTCGGTTACATGCCTTCATCGAAACGATTTTCATTAGCAAATTCAAAATTGCCTGCCGATGCTTCTCAATTTTTCTGTTTTTTTTTAAACAGCGAACAACAATTTTTTACAGGGATTTTACAGTGGTTTCCAGTATTTAGGTTTACGTATTTACTGCGGTTTACAGTTTTCAAACTAAACAGGCACCGCACATCACTTGTGTCACTTTTACAGGCCAATGATTACAATAAAACAGGCATCACGCGTCAGGCATCATACATGAAAACGATGTTAAACTGGCACGCATCACACATCAAGGCACTAGTCACATCCTTATAATCGACCATGATGAGCCCTGTTCGTTAATGTCTGTTCACCGACTTCTTGTAAGAATGGTTCACATATTTTCCTGCCTGGATGGCCCTGTGCTCTGTGGATGACTTCGAGCTTTTAAAGGGGTAAAGGGTCCGTACCTGTTTGGATCTCAACCTGCGTGTGTTTTGTCAAAGAAGTGGAACCTGTGGAGTCTGCATGTAACCGCGTTTTTCGCGAATCCTAGTTCTTAGCTGTTTACTGTATCATAGAAATGAATAGTAGTGGCTCCTTGTTTAATCCTCTAAATGTCGGAGACCTGTGAAAACTGCCGCTCCTTTTTTCAAAAAAGAAATAAAAATCGGGTGGGATCAGTAGACAATTTCGAATCTACTCCTGATATTCTCTTCGATAAAGGCACGCAGCCGAAATATCACATCTACCTCTCTATTCTCCTGTTTTGCCTGCGAGGAACAAGGTTATCATGGTTGTTTCATCAATGGAAAATGACGCGCGTTGGCTGGGGCTTAAACGTAATGAAACGCACATTTACTGAACTATAGTTAACAAACAGGCGAAGCAATCTGAAAGTTCTGAATACATGGATTTTTGGGTTCAGGGCTCACGGCAAGCGTCATCTGTGGTGTTGCCCTGACCCCTACTATCCGATCGTAAAGTTCCACATCGATGGAATAATTTGATAAAAAGTTCAATACGTCTCAATGCTCGGCACGGCTTGTCCTGCTCCCTGACGTCACTTGACCTTTAGCGGGGACGTTGCCACCGGCCGCAGACCATCTCAGTCAAGGACAAAAACCGAGCGCCTTAAAGCGACTCCAGTCCACGCCGCCACGGGTGGGTGGATCGGGAGGCAGGCGCTGTAACCAACTGAGCTACGGAACGGACGATGTGTACATGGTGTCTCCCCAACGTTGTCACGAGTGATAGGTGACGGGTGTCACCTACCTCTCTTGCGGCGCAACCTTCACCCCGCAGGGGGGGGGGGGGGTGACATGTTTGTCTGTATTTTCCCGGCATTGGACCCGGCACAGGACCAGCTTCCATTGGAGCAAATATTCGATAGGAATACAATTTGCTATCTATTTATTTTTTCAAAACAAACATATATGCCGGTGGTCCCTGGCAGCTGAATGCTCCACCCTATATACTATCGTTTCATTGAATGATTCCTCCACGCCTCATATAACATGTGCGTTTCAGTTCACCATTGGCCAGTGAGGTGAGATGTGAACATGTTATGCATATGAAAGGACATCTTATGCATGTGAGAAGATTATTTCCGGAAGGCTCAAAAGTCAATCCTGGATTTTCATCAGCTAATCATTGGTCCTCCATTGAAGGATGAACCTGACCACCTTCACCTTTTCCAAGGCCTTATTGGACCTCGGATCAGCCGCCAAAAGCAATGGCAACAATGATACTACAGCGCACCCTGTTTACAGCTTCTGTCGATGGTCCAAACCCCTCGCTGAAGAGCAGCTCAACGACATTTTCAAAATGACTTCCAAAATATGTGACGGATTGCCGCCTAAGTTTATATAGCTGTAGACAATTGAAGAACCATGGCCATGGATGAAAGGAAATTCTATTCTTGAGAAATATTTCATGCTGATACAAAGAATGCTTGGAAGCAGCCACACAGCATTGAGATGTTTTCTTTGTGAACTATCCATTCAGCTTAAAATTATAACCAGTGTTGTTGCCCATGGCTAAGGTCTGGTGCCGTGATGAAGACCGAAATAAAAATTGTAGCTGGAAAATTGGTTCGCAGGATGGCTTCTTGATATTTTGTATATGTCATGATTTCAATGCTTCGGGGTTCCATTCTCCTTCCCACCCAAGCGCGTCGTATTTAGTGGGCCGCCCGAGCGCGTGTTAAATACTCTTGCATTTTCCAGTTTGTTACGGCCTGTTAAGCCTTCTCATACAGACACCCACGCGTGCGCACACACACACGCACACGCCCGCACCCACAAGCACGCACTCATGCATGACCACATGCCAATGCACAAGCGCACCCCAAACGCACAACCATGCACAAGTGTTAACGAATTAGAATAAACACGAGGACAACCTAAGCTAATAAAAAACCTGGTGGAACAATGCTCGTCGGCAGCTAAATGTGGGACAGTGCAGAGGGTGCCCGTTACTCTGGCAGACGTCACGATGCGATGGAAATGTTTGTGTCCGTTTTACACGGTCGGGGTGTTTTGGGCAGTGATCCTCTTTCCTTTCCTTGACGATATTTAGTATTTATAACGCACCAGGCTGGCAGCCGTCTGCAGTGCGAATTTCTCTTAACATCGCACCCACATTATGCGTGCGTGAATAACAGCTGCTAACAGGACTGAAAAACAGCCTCTTGGACGGCTAGCTAGAAGTGCGCACGGTGTCCACGGGTGTCCAGGACTGGCGCATCGACCGCGGTGTACATCTTATGTAAGAGACCACACCACCACTGACAGACCAGAAGATAATCAATTTCAACGTGTGATGGTGTGAAACCGTACATGAAACAAAACCAATTAAGAGCTTAGCGCTGTTTCCACCCTTCGGTTGCCATGACAACGAACTTCACGAGGCCTCCCGGCCGTCAGGTCACTAACTCTCTCGAGACGCCCGTGGCGACATGTGTCCGCAAGCATGGCTGCTCGTCACTCACCTATGACGGTCAGGTGGACGGGGTAGGAGGCGGGCGGCGAGGTGCTGATCTGGCAGGCGTACATGCCGGCATCGCGGTGCTGCACGAACTTGACCTGCAGGGTCCAGTCGTGCGAGCGCGGCGAGTGGCGCGCTCGGAAGCGCTCGTCGCTCGTGTACGTGCTCTCGCCCACGGTGAGCAGGTGCACGTCCCGCAGGCGCACCCACGAGAGGGTGCGGTTGCCGAGGGCGCAGACGCGGCAGCTGAGGTAGGCACTGCGGCCGAGAAGCGCCGTCACGTTCCGGGTGGCGTCGCGCTGGAACCAGGGCCGGCCGGCGTGCGGTGCCACCGGCGGGTCCACGTCCAAACGGACCGGGTCTACCGGCAGGCACAGACAGACACCAGGTCAGCGGTGGCGGCAGGTCAGCTGTCAGCAGGTCAGCTATCAGCAGGTCGGTGGCGGGACCTCGATCGCTCCGAGCGCGTGTGCGGACATACGTTGACGTCCGACGGCGCTCAGGGAGAGACCCTCTTTCGGGGAAGCAAGGTCGGCCGCCGTCGAATGTCACAGGACAGCAGCGGAGGATAGACAACCGTAGTCGAGCTCGTGAGAGGAGGAGTGGAGCTGCAAGACGTTGATGCCCGGCGGCCAGGGTGAGTCGATATATGGGCGGCGGTGTGCGACACTGACTCACATCTCGATGCGAGTTCTGATATTTGACATACGAGTTCTGAAATACGCGGGCATTACGATAGCTGGGAACAATTGTCTGCTTCTGTTCTACCAAAGAATTTGGGGACCGCCATGGCAACGAACGATGATACATAACGATACGATGATACGATACACAATGATACGATGAACAACGATAAGATGATAAATTAAGTTGCCAGAATCGATGACGGCGAATTTTGTCAGGAGTCGGGTGGAGCGAATCTTATTTGTGACTCGCTTGTCTCCATGTAACGCAATTGTTTTAAGAAACGTGCACTGTAATCGCATTGCAATAGTACCGCTGTATGCACGTGCAGTAGTCCTTGCAGCTGCAATGAACAGCTTGCTCAATTGTTGTAATGCCAATGTTTCGAAAGAACCTGGGGTTCCTGCCAACCGCACTCGCTAGGTCACCACCTTCTCCGCACTCGTTCTTAATATTCCATCACGTGGAGCGCTTAAGTAGCTTCATTGCTTCCGGACACGCAACATTGCAGGCGAACGCATGCATGCAATGTCAGAAAAGCCTGAAATGAAGAGCCGAGTGCGACGCTTCCCAAAGTGCAATTGCGTCTCGTTTCTTTCAAATAAGCTCATAGATGTCTCTTCATCTATCATCTAAATAATTTCAACGTAAGTTCTAGCTACTATGCGTTTCTAAGGCAGCTGGCGAGCTGCGATGTGCAAAAGTAAATCCGCCGCCCACGCCACGTTACATGGCTGGCTGTTCCCGCCCCGCTGTGGTGTATTGCACCTGGTATGTGAAGGCCACAGTTCGCTGACACATGAGACCAGTCTTGTCTATTTACGCAGGTGAGATATAGCACCTACTTCTCTCGCGCCTCACAAGCTGGCGAAATTGCGCGTGCCGGGCGAAGTGCTGCTGTCACCGTAACTACTGCTGCCGGCCCGTCTTATAATGTCCACAGTGCATCAGGTTACGGTTCATAATGTCCACGGTTCATAATGTCCACAGCTTACCATATCCACGGTCCTTAATGTCCACAGTTCATAATGTTCACAGCTTACAATGTCCACAGTTCTTAATAATGTCCACCGCTTATAATGTCCACGACATATTTCCACCTGCGTCCGCTAGGACACTGCCTCGCTGTTATGTTTGAGAATACGGCGCCTGGAACCGCCAAGCCGACGAAACCAGTGCAGGGTCAAGCAGGGGGCAGGAGCGTGAAGCGACCTGTGAAACATATTATTTTCACAGTTCGTGGTGCTGAGTCGGATGCATAACACGATGGTATAGCCAATGAGTCACAGCAATTATATGTTCTGGAAAGCCTATTTTACGGCGCGTTCCAACTGCTGAGGTTGGCTGGATGAGCGCCAAGCTATCTATAGACATTTTTCTCCGGTTATTTTGACGTCCTCAATAATAAATTTGCTACGTGACTGTCCCAGTATAGCCAGGAACACGGTGACCAGTTTTATGCAGGGTCGAGTTTATTCCTGCTGGGTTGGTTTTCGGCTATCATATGCAAAGTCGATTTCATTTCAATCGGTGTGTTTAGGCCTATTATTCAGAGGCGGCCTCGTTCCAGTCGGGTTTATACAGAATCGGACTTCGGGAAGCCGCGAAAGATTCACTTTGCAGCAATAGTGCTGGACTGTATCAATTTAGAGGAAATGACTTTGGCGGACGCCTATCTCCCATGCGTACGAAATTTCTTACCCTGGCGGGTGCAGGCAGAACTAGCTTGCGCGCATTACGAACTGTGGGAATTTTGAACCGTGGACGTTATGACCTGTGGACATTTTGAGCTGTATACATTGTGAGCTGTGGACATCAAGACCTGTGGACTTAATGAAGAACCCCTATTACTGCATTGGACATGATGACCTGTGGACATCGTGAAATCCCCATTCTGCCGCAATAAGAGCTGGGCCGGTACAGCACGACACGGGTGGGCCGGGCGCTGACGCCGCCGACCGTCGGTCACTGGACGACAGCTGGTGCCGCGCGCCGGGCGCTGACGCCGCCGACCGTCGGTCACTGGACGGCAGCTGGTGCCGCGCGCCGGGCGCTGACGCCGCCGTCCGTCGGTCACTGGACAACAGCTGGTGCCGCGCGCCGGGCGCTGACGCCGCCGACCGTCGGTCACTGGACAACAGCTGGTGCCGCGCGCCGGGCGCTGACGCCGCCGTCCGTCGGTCACTGGACAACAGCTGGTGCCGCGCGCCGGGCGCTGACGCCGCCGTCCGTCGGTCACTGGACGACAGCCGGTGCCACGCACCGGGCGCTGACGCCGCCGTCCGTCGGTCACTGGACGACAGCTGGTGCCGCGCGCCGGGCGCTGACGCCGGCGAGCGTCGGCGAGCGGACGACAGGCAGCTGGTGCCGCGCACCGGGCGGAGCGACGGCCGCCAGCGCGTCGAGGAGAGGCTGGCGTGCGCCGTCATTTGTCCGCGTCACCTGACGCTAATGTCAACTGGCAGTCGGCTGCTAACTCGTCCGGTCCGCATCTGCCTCCAAACAGCGAGCCGACGGCTGGCAAAAAGACGAGACGCTCACGGCCGTCACGGGCGCGGCGTTCTTGTCCGCCCGCCGCCGTCGCCGCCGCAACAGCGAGGGGCGGAGCTGGGTCGCAGGCGGTGCCGCCACTCTCGGCTGCTTGGGGCTTACGTCTGAGTCGTCCTGCAAATGCATGTTCATCCATGGTGGAGGCGTACCAAATGTGAAATTGGCCCGACATTTGTGCCACAAACATGACTGTACCACGTACATGGTTGTCAAAGGTCTGCCCAGTTTTCGCGTCGCGTCGTGCGAGACCATCAACAGCGCTAAACAAATATTTACACAGTTCTGTCCGACAAGCATAGACAGCCGTTTTGGGAATAAGGCACAAACATGAATGAGACGATGCATTTTAATTTGTGCCAGCTAGCTCAGCGGAAAAAATGCGCGCTTTTGAAATATTTTACTGACGGGCATGCACCTGGTAAAACATTTGTATAAATATAGCGGATTAGGGCTGCATAAAAATGTGGTAAAAACCTGTCACGTAACGTAACGATACAAGGCCATGTTCGTTGGCACACATTTTTATGATAAGAAAGAGTAAAACTTCATAGACCAAGCGTTTTTATCGGCAACGAAAAGTACCACTGAGACAAAAACCACGAATGTCACGTTGACAGCAAAGCATCACATGGTTTTGCCAATGTTCGGCAATGCTATGTTTAGATGGATGTTCGAAGTTTTCGAGGTCTTATCACTGGACGTGGCAATGCTTAGCTATCAGAATCCCGTCGAGATAATGTAGGAGTTTTGATTGCAGTATGTGGATGGCTCATCCAGGAGTGCATCAAGCACTGTATCTGAGCGGGCACAGCAAACGAGAGTACTTGCAATAACAAAAAGCAGGTACTATGAAAAGAAAACGGCGCAGACTAAAGCATTCTGATGTTTGAAAGGTGCAGAAGTCTTACCATGTCTGAACATTCCAATGGGATTACGATCCGAGCCTTCCTAATGTATCACATTTCTTGAACTGGATTAACCACGATATCCAATTTACGAATTTCCAACCGAGGAATAAATCGAGTTGCTCAGTGTGCGTGAATATGCAACGCTGGACCGGAAATTCGAAAGCTGTGTGTCGTGATTCATAGCACATATTCTGCAAGAGCTGTCCACCATGGAGAATCAAACGGGCTAAGATTCAAACATCATGCCAATGCCCCTAAAACCAGGCTATACTGCACGCCACAAGCCCAAACCAAGCATCATGCTCAGACTGCAGGCTAGCCGGTTCGCCTAAGCCCAGACTCCCTCCAACCTCTGGTCGCTGGTTGGCGTGAACTTTTTTGGTGCGCATGGAGGGAGAAAATCTTAGCAAGGCACATTTGCACTTTTTAAGGAATGCGGTTGCACAGTTGCCAGCACTTTCCCTGGTTGCTCAAGTGGCCATTTCCCCCAAATTATTCTGGAGCCACGAGACAAAAACCAATGGATTGCTTTTGATCTAAGGTCACGGAAACTACCGCTGGGTGAGCAGCCGGATGCGAGGCAGATGTAGTAAGCCGGCAGCATGCCATGTCTGTGTGGGGTTCATTTAGAGGCCGTTTGACTGAAACCATTTGTAAGGCACTGAATGAATTCCTCACACGAGCTTTCGGGCTAGACAGACTGATGACATCGCGAGTAGCGGAGTCGAGGACTTGGGTGTCATCGGCGTAAGATAGTAAGCGGCCGTGAGGCAGAAACGATCGTCTAGGCGCGCGATCTTCCAGGTGCATAGAAAAGTGCGCGGTGTGATAAAAATGCTAATGAGATATAAAACGTGAGCGTCGATTACGGAGACAGCACATTTCATAACAATTTTGCACTGCGTAGCAAGGTATGCCATCGACGCAGTAGCCCTCGACGCGCTCATGTTCCCGATGGCTTCAGATGACTCCGGCAGGGCGGCTGAGTGCAGGGACTGCGACGAGGCACAGGCACGGCACGGGCGTGGTCCAGCCTGGGTCGCACCAGCACAACCACGCCCTACCACCGCCCCCGCAGCGATGTGGGGCCGACGGCAGCGAAGTGGGGCATGTAGTCTGTCCGTCCGCGTGTGTTGCGCGTTCTCACTGGCTGCGACCTGAACTGCCTCAGCGGCTCCAGAAGTCCTACAGCCCTGTCAGCAGACCGCTGCTCAGGCGC